CTCCAAAACCAGCACTGACCCGTTGGCTTCCGAATGAAGCAGGCCTCGCTTCAAACGAGCACCAGCATAAGAGCGCTCTAGCTTTTGAGAGCTTTATTCCGGATGGCCAACTTGTCTGCGTATGATTCAATGTATCCAACCCCCAACGCCAGGGGCTAAAGGGCGCTCTGTTTGGCCGCCTCGCTTCCTGAGTTGATTGGCCAAAAAAAGTCCAAACTTTTTGTTTACCACCAAAATTGTCTTCCCAAAAAGTATAAAGTCCATGAACTCAGGGAGTGAGCCGATGTTAAAGGGAACCCCCCAAAAAAGGCAAAGGAAGCAACCTAGTGGAGGTCTGGGATATTCCGGGATGGAAAACGAGCTTTTGGAGCCGTGAGTGCTCCCAAAGTCTTCCGTGAGAATGGGCCGCAGTCCGCGAGGGGTTCGTAGAGTGCAAACGTATGATGCATGATGCGACAGGCGGCAATTAATCAGCTTTGCAACCCCTCGTATGGTAGCAACAAACTGCGCTTTTTGTAGCTCCCTCCTAAAAATGATCAGAATCACAAAAACAAAAAACATGCCAACAACAGGCAAGTCAGCTTCCCTCCAAACACCAATCTTTGAAGTCAAGGAGGTGCGAGTTCGGTGTTTTTAGGGGTGTGGAACCTGAAAAAGGCATGTGTCACTGCAAAACGATCAGCTTGCTGTAAAGGCAAAGGCAGCTCCGGATACAAAAAGCGGGGATCCACAGCTGGTAGTGGGGCTAAGTCAAATGACTCAAATGACTTTAAAATGACTCTTGTTTCATTTTGCGGGAGGTGTTTTGGGGTCTCCCCACATCAAATGATTCAATGGACTCTTGTCCCCTCTTGTAGGAGGCTTTGTGGGGTCTCCCCAAAGATGCAGGTGCAAGAAGGGCACCTAGCTGGGGAGCCTAGTCAAGCTAGCAACTGGGGATCGCCACGTGGGGTGTTTCGCAAGGTTAGGCCCACTGAACGGGGGACTCAAAAGAGGGGTTCCAACCGAACGGTTGCCAAGAACAACTTACGAACTTGGCGAATCGATTCGAAGAGTCGCTATGGTCACTTGTGTCTTTGCAAGCCATCATGGGGGTATTGGGCGAACACCATAGGTAGTTGGAGGGAAAAAGGAACGGCAGGTCCATACCTGGGAACTCAGATCCCCTGCTACAAGAGTTTAACTTCTGGGCTAAACTCGGAAACCCAACCGCCTTTCACCAACTAAAGAGCAAAAAACCCCAAGTTGAAACGGATGGCTGGTTGAACCACCAATGTAAGGCATACCCTGAAACATGGGTTCTTTCCCCACTATTCTGGCGTGAATCGCGCTGTTTTCTGGGTAGTTTTGAGGGAACCCGCAAGAGAAGAGACTCTTAGTGGGGTACGACCGAACTTACTGTCTTGGCGAGTCGAAGACCCAACCCTGGGGTTCAACCCCCCTTTAAACAAAGGTTGACCCAATTTAGATGATGACAACTTGTTGGTAACAAATCATGGTGGTTACATGAACCCAACCATTGTTTTAATGGTGGTTTCACCCCCAGGGCCAAGTAGGTTTGCAGGGAACAAAAAGGGACAGTTCCAGGGAAAAAAACGGACAACGGCGGGTCCAGAGAGGTCACTCCTGTCGCGAGTCGCACAACCCCACGCGCTCCGAGCGCGCGGAGCTCGCTCCGCGCTCCTTCGTTATCATGATGGTCAGCCAGGGCGTCGGCCGCCTCTTCTTCTTCCGTCTGGCCGGGAGAAAAACGCAAAGGAGACAACGCATATCAAACCCCGGTATTAAAATGGTCGTAATCCCAGAACCATGTAAGAAAAATAAGAACCCCTTATTAGAATTCACTCCCACATGAGTCATAATCAAACCCCGGTATCAAAATGGTCGTAATCCCAGAACCATCGTAAAGAATTAAGAAGGCGGATATCCGCAGCTATTTATGGCTGGTATTGCCCCTTCATCTATTTTCGTCTACCCGGGTTTTGATTGTGGCTCATGTGACAAAAGAGAACCTGAGAAGACAAAATTCCAGTTCGGCCCAGTTCAGAATGTATTATGTTATTCTTTGCTTCACTTGGAGTCACTGGGAAAAATGCAAAATGTATCCTCAGTCCAGCCTAGGAGGGGGCTCCGTAAAAGAAATGAGTCATAATCAAAACCTGGTACCAAAATGATGAACCCAGAACCATGTAGGACATTGAAAAGGCGGCCGCATCCATTTCTGGTTGGGATTGCCCCTTACTGAACTTCATTTACTCGGGTTTTGATTGTGACTCAAATGATGTTCTGTCCTTGCCTCGGGCTCCCTCAGCGAGGCCGACGCATCCTAGTGATCCAACGGCCCAAAGAAATGTTTGTCGCATCCGAGGCTTCTTGGTTACCAGTATGTTAATGCCCTCAAACAGAAGGAACATATATCCCTCCTGCCTTCTGAGGGACGGGGGGGGGGGAAGGGGTTCCCCAATTCTACCGCCAAAAGGAAAAGCGGAACCATAAAATGACAAAGACTAGGTCCTCCAGTAGAGAGGTTAGAATAAGCTGGTACCCGATGTTTTTTGTTTCTGTCTATTTTAGTAGGGGAACCCTCCCAACCAAAAAAGTTGGGCGAGAAAGGGCACTACTGGGGGACCTAGAAGAAGATATATGCCCCTTGAAGACAACTCATTGGATTGTCATGCCCGATGGCTACTTTATCAATCAGTCTTTCTTGCTCAACCTCCATTTGCTTCAGTCCAATGGAAACACAAATCCAGTAGTGATAGATTCCCTTCAAAATCAACGGGGGACTAAAAACAAAAATGGAAGTCAAGGGTCCCGCAGTGATCACTAGCTCTACCGTTGATAGACTTCCGCCAACGCAGCTGACGGAAAGGTTTGCGATTGTCTGCTTTACTTTGGCAGAAGCGCTATGTACTTCCCAGCCGAAGACAACTTGGGAGATGTGGTGGTGATAGGTGTCCTTTGGAAAAAATGGAACGGAACCGGTACACTAACATGGAAGCTCGCAGGCCTCTGCAAATAGAACCAAGTCTTCCAAAGGGCCCTGGGAGCTTCCGGCTGTTAGTCTGGGGGAGGGGGCAATTGAAAACCCGAACTGAAAGGGCCATCTATGTTCAACCAAACCTAAGGACACCAGGTTCACCGGTTCTCCTCCCCCCCCTGCGCCCGCAGATTCACAGAAGTCCGAACAAACACTTGTAGGAGGCTCCCCCCATTTTTGGGTTGCAAGCCAATTCGCGGGGAGCCGCGGCAAGCTTGGGGCTACTAGCGACTAGAGGCCCCTGAGGCACCTGGAAAGGTTGATCTTTGGATGCCACGAAAGGTCTCCGGTCGATTCGCTTTGAACAAGAGACTTACCCCTTAAAACTCCAAGCCCTGGGGAAGTTCTCATCTTTTACAGACATATTGCCCTTTTACCCAAAAAGTTGAGAAAAGTTGTGTGTTTTTAAGAGGTAAGGAGAGGGTTCAACCAATCTTAAGAGCGCGTCTTGCAAAAATCTGGTGCCGGGCTTGTGTACCCATCCGCCTCGACTTTGAGCGGCTCTCCTAACGCCTATTCCGATCCCACACCCCTAGGCCCCTAGACCCCCAGACCCGGCCACTCTTGGGCCGATTTTTGGAGACGGGGCTCTTCCGTCTAGAGCTGAGAGCCAGCCCAAGCGCTGAAAACAAATCTGGAGCTCCGGGATCGGAGCCTCGCAGTTCATGTGGCCCACTTTTCTTGGGGGCTCTCCTTGTGGCCATTTCATCGGAACAGTGCTGGATCTACTCGCCTTGGTGCTTTTTTTTCCGCTGGAAATAAGAAAGAGCCAGCTAAAAACCCGGAAAAAAAAAAAAAAAAAAAAAAAAAACATAATCCACAACCAGAAGACTGAACGAGAAAAAGTGGGCCATTTCTTCCCTCCTTTCACTGCACAAGGAAAAACAACTGCACCTGGAGGACATACTTTCCAAAAAAAGAAAGGGCGAACATTCCACACAACAGTTTTTCTGTTTTTTTTGGTACACCCCTATTCCACACCTTTGTTGTGTGTGTGTGTGTGTGTGTGTGTGTGTGTGTGTGTGTGTGTGTGTGTGTGTGTGTGTGTGTGTGTGTGTGTGTGTGTGTGTGTGTGTGTGTTTTTGTACACCTCTAGGCTCGAGCCACGTCGCCTTGTTGTTGGCCGTCAGCCAGCTCTTTTGGATGATCCGGATCCGCCCCGCATACTCGCGACCTGGGACGACAAAAATGACACGGGAAGTGACGCCGCGGACCCCGGCCACCCGGGGAAAAATCTGTCAAGACGTGTGTGTCATTGTGTATCTTACACAAGAAAAAAAAACTGAAAAAAGCATGCTTGGTGTCCGTCTAAAAGTGCAACTCCAAAATGGGTATCCTCAAAAAGAAGACGTACCCTCTTCAAAAAAGGGTTGGACTCCATTTCAGGTTGTTATTTTCCTTTCTGCCTTGCTTTTTCACCGCAGCGTTCGATTTGATCCCGACTCTGAGACAGACTCAAAGGTCCGTGTACAAAATGTCCCTTTCTGATTGTCCTTCAAATATGGGTGTGGCTCAAAGTTAAAGAGCTACGGCAAACCGCAGGCTTTAGTCGTGGCTCCATTGCCAAGGTGCTATTTCGAGTCCATGTCCACATGAGTCATAAGCAAAAACTTGTATTCACGTTGTCTACCCATATGCATGTTTCTGCAAATGTTCAAGGCGGATTTCCGCACCGATTTCTGGCTACTGCCACTTAACCTGGCTTTGAGCAAGTGGCTCATATGTAGAACAGAACGTCACACTGTCGCCCCAAACCCGCGCGTAAGACGCATTGACAATTCCACTCGAAAAAAAAGCTTCCATTTGGTTAAGACCCCTAGAAAAAACACAGTAGTGATGAATTCCTTTTAAAACCAACAAAGGGAAATAAAACAAATATGACAATTCTTAAGAAAATGGAAGTAAAAATACAAAAAAAAAAACGATTCGCATCGCTTCGCATTCCAATTGCAGCAGAATGACGCTGTTGAGTCACGTGGCTTGCTTGCTGCTGACCCCTCTGCAAAAAGTCTTTCACTTTTTATGGGTTTGATACCCAGGTCCTCCAGTAGGGAGGTTAGAATAAGGGTACCAACTTTTTTCTGTAGTCTATTTTAGTAGGGGAACCCTCCCCCAAAACAAGGGGAGAGAAGGGCACTACTGGGGGACCTAGGATATGGACACTTATGATTTCAACCCAGAAGCTCAAGTCTAAAGATCCAACCCACTAGCAATCAAGATATGAAGCTCGTCAGTCACGTGGGCACCTTTTGTTCTTTAACAAGGGACCGGTCTGAAGTAGGTGAGCCACATCGGGATGCAAAAGTCAACTCAATCTGATTGCCCATTCGGAACCTAGCAGGCAAACCCGAAGAAGACCAGATGAGCCAAACCCAACACTGGACGCTCCAAACCAAAAAACCAACGGAGTCGGATGCCTGGAAACTGCGGCTGGAACAAGCAGAACTGGTCCAAATCGGAGCAGTCCATGTGTGTCTGAAAATAGAGGGCCCCTGAAAAATGAGGTTGTTTTCCTTTTGGCTTCCCTTTAAATCAAGCCCATGGTAGCCTCAAAAAGAACAAGGCCCATGTTGCTCGATGGGTTGAAAGCTGTCTCTGGCGATCGTCATCTCTCCGTGGGAGCTTTAGGTGAGATGTCTCTTACATCGGCCAGCGAGAAGGGACACAAGCCGCAAGCCCTTCTAATACACACATCCTACCCATTGCAAAGGTGTCGCCCAGAAAAAGTAAAGGAAAGCAAAAAGTAAAGGATCATCCCAACTAAAAATAGGACCCCTATTCATCAAGTAATTAGAGGTTTAATCCGGGGTTCACATTGTAAGGAAGAATGCGGACTGCGAATGGCTACTAGAGTTGCTGCCAAACTATCCCCCCACATGGGTACTTGCAATGCTCCAAGCTGGCCATCTTCCCAGGCTCGCATGGCTCGCTGATTTGTCATTGGACAAACGCACAAGCAGGGATACGAGGAGGGAGCGGGGATGTGGGGGGATTCCAACTTGGCGCCTTTTCCCATCTCAAACTTCGTCAAGGCGTATCCAACGGGGGAATCCTCAACCGTATCAACCTGGTTCCCCTTGTATCCCTGCTAGTTGGTTTCCCTGATATCCGATCCATTGCCAAAGGGCGGATGTAGATGTATGCGCCACCCACGTAGTTTAAAACCACCTGGCGATCGCTGGCCCCGGTGTTTTTTCGGGAGATGCCCCGAATTGCCACCATGCGATCGCAAGGTTCAGACAAGCCGATGCGCGGACTTTCTGGGCATGGTGGCATGCAAACATATGGGTCTGGCTTTTTTATGGAGATGCTTGGGTGGTTTTAGGGAAACCAAGAGGAACAGCACTATCTGAAGCATGAAAGCTGATTCCAGCGGGACATCCTGAGTTGGACATCATGCTGAAACCCTGGGAAATGTGCCCATGATAGAAATATATCTTGCCAGACAAGTTCCCATGTTTGCCTCTATGGTGTATGCCGCAAACTGCAATATGAACTTTTCATCCGGAGGACCGTACGCCAGGCAGGCGTGGATCTGCTTTGCGGAATCGATCTGTTCTTGGGGGTTGCCCCAACTGGGCTCCTCCGGATGAGTGCGAAGCTCGCATTGTAATTCTCACGTGGGGAAGTTGTCAAAACTGGGCTGCCCATTTTCAGATCCCCCGCTAAAAGTTTAACGTTTAGTGGTTTACACAAATGGAAACTATCACTAAGAACTAAAAGGCTAAAAAGCTAAGGGGATGGCTCGGAACCACCAAGGAAGTTAGAGCCTTTTCTGGTACAAGTAGCCCCTTGAAAAGGCGGTACAAGGCGGCACCAGGGTCCAACAAGGGGGTGATATGTTTGACAACACCCAAGTACAAACCGAGAAGCAGAGTTTACATTTAACCATACTGTGGATGGACGAAATCCTGCACCACCTAAGAAACCCTGGCTTTTGATGATTCCCTGTAAATATCAACAGAGAATGTCCCATGGTTTCTTCGGTGGTGCAGGATTCTGTCCATCCACAGTAAGCTTGTCAATCAGAACCTCATACGCATGTGTAATGCAGGTTTCTGGCGGCAGCGCTTCTCCAACAAACAAAGGAGCCGAACAATTCGACTGCGAAGGGCGTGGGCAATGAAGTCAACCGGACTTAAGCGTTTTGCTGCAAACGCACGTCATACTCCGAGAGAAAAGGCACTCAAACAGAACTTTAAGGGAATCTTACCCCTTAAAACTCCAAGCCCTGGGGAAGTTAATCTTTTACAGACATATAGCCCATGTTACCCAAAAAGTTGAAAAGTTGTGTTTTTTTAAGAGGTAAGGAATATAGGTGGACTTCCTCCCCGGTTGTTCCACTTCGTAAAGCCTGGACAAAGGGTAATTAGGCATGCGCCGCGGAGCTTGGCAGTGCTACCAGCCGTCATGGGAGTTCGGTAAACCTCTCCCTGTTTACCAGCTGAGTTGTAAATCCCCTCTACCTCAATGAGGGGGGTGGGCGGTCCCCATTTCCGTTTTCCTAGTCTTCCCCACCAAAAAAAACGGAAGCTTTCAGCGGAGATCTCCAGGTCGAATTCCCCCTCCCTCTTTTCTTCATTTTCTCACTTAGCAAGTGGCCTGCCAAAAAAAAGTGTACACGTTTTCGGCCACCACCAAACTAAAGGGGAAGCCATCAAGAAAAACAGTGTAAAGTGTGTCCACTGGCCGGGTGAGTTTTCAAGAGGCCCGGCGGGAATTGGTTCAAACTGATGTCTGCCGCCCTCGCCTAACTGAAGATTCGGGTTCCCTAGGCTCCGTTGAGTCCTTTGGTAACCTAACGGCGCTTGGTTGCTGACCTCCAACAAGTTGTTCACTTGCCAAACAGTTCAAGTCTATCAAAAAGGGGCTCCAAAATTTGTTCTGAGCCACACCCAGAGCAGACATGGCAGCCATAAATCATAGGCCACCGAACGCTTCGCGCGGATTTCGAACTCGGCCCCAGAACGGTGGCGCTTCGCCTGAAGGCCCACGCGTCCTTTGGAGGTCATCCGTGGGCCAAGCTCCTGAGAAAACGCGCTCGGTCAAGCGATCCGATTGCGCCAAAACAATCCTGTGGAAAACCATCGTGGGCCTGGAGGGGTGCGGATTTATTTTTCCCCCCCCCCCCCGTTTTTTGGGTTTTTTCTTTCGGAGGGTCCCCCGTTTTGGGCGAGTTTGAAACCACTACTAGGTCCTCCAGATTTGAGAGCTTAAAACAAGGGTACCAACTGTTTTCTGAAGTCTATTTTAGTAGGGGAACCCTCCCTCGAAAAAGGGTGAAAGGGGGACCTAGACTATTGTGAGGGGCCCACTACAAAAAGACGCGCCGACATGAGCAGGCGACTATATTGCTTGTGTAGACTATATGCCAAGATATGCTTGAACTCGTTTTGGAGACTTGTTATTCCCAAAAACATCGCAGAGGCCGTTCTTTCAACCATCTGAGTAGATGAAAAACAGGTCCGTTCAAATGGGCCCATGGGTTCGCTTTGTGAAGGCATAAGCCTCGATACGGACTCGTTTCGGACCCGGGGCTCGTTTTGGACTCGTGTTGGGCCGTGTTTTTTTCTTCCGGCTGTTTCGCCGCCGGGAGAATGCCTTGAAACGCCGTCCGGGCAAGACTTGCAGCTCTTGCACTTCAGTGGTTGCTGCGTTCTTAGCATGTGCATCGTGCAGTCTGCCACAGCTACCTGTGTCACTGCTGCCAGGCCGATGGCCGATGGCCGCAACCCGTGAAAAGCTTAGGGTCTGCTCTGTCATAGTACTTGGTTGACGTTGGAAGGGGAGCAAAAATTTAACTTTTAGCAGTTCAGTGGGGAATTCCCACTAAACCACAATAAGCAAAAGTAACAAAAAAACATGTTTCCCAACAACACCCATGATAGGTTGTTGGGGCCTGGCCACTGGCAAGAAGCTCAAAGTCTGGTCCGTCACAGCCATCACTCCCACAGCTCTCAAGGTCAGCTTCACCATGATTCAATCTCGTCTCGGTTTGCATGGTGTCCTAGAAAACTACTGTATCTCGTTTTGATCTTGACAATTTGGGGGCAACCATCCCGTTTCGGGGAAAAGATCTACTTGTGATGGCATGCCGAGCGCAACACATATTCAATTGTCAGTCAATTGGTCGGTCGCTCACATGGCCGACCTCCTTTCCAAACCTCAGCCTGGTAACCTGATGATTGTCAGATCAGGGTCGATGGTCCTGATCGGAAGCCCCAACAAATTAAATCGGGCGGTTCTGGCTATGGCACAAGTTTCATATGCTTTGAAATGGTGCAGTCTCAAACGCATCGCACTGTGGTTCCTAACTGAGCGTCTCGTCCCTTCCCTGTTTCACTGTGACCGACCAGGACATGTCATCTCATTGACAAACGCATTACATGTACGTAGAAAGCAACAACACCAGAATACTGCAAAATCAAGAACCAAGCAAACATGACAACGCACCGCTAGCGACTGAGCTGCTACTTACAAGCTAGGCTGATAGATGACACAGGCACAACGCACAAAACAGAAAGCATAAAGCAGACTTCACAAAGCACACAAGAAGCAGAAAGCACAAAGCAAACAGCACAAACAGAAAGCGCCGCGCAGAGAGCAGAAAGCACAAGAACAACACAGAAAGCAAACATAACGAACAAAAAGCTGGAAGAATCTGGAAGAACAAAGCAACACGAGGAAAGCACAAACAGAAAGCACCAAGCATAAAGCATATAAAGCGGAAAGCAGACAGCACAGAGAGCAGAAAGCTAAGCATGAAGCGGAAAACACAGCAAGCACCAACAGAAATCAGAAGGCGCAAAACAAAAGCGGCAAGCACACAAAAAGCCGGCAAGCACAAGGCACAAACAAACAGCAGAAAGCTAACAACGCACGCACAGAAAGCACAAGGTAGAAGCAACAAAACCGGAAGCAGAAAGTACAGCCATTCTGGCTTTGGCATCTCTAAGGCAGGGTCAATCTCCAGCAGTTCCAAAATGGCTTCCCTGAAGATGTCGACGCGTGGTGCAGTGACTTCCTGAGACGGAAAAGCTGAGGGCAGATTTTGCTCGAGACAAGAACGATCCGAAAGGGCAAGCTCAGGTGTCTGCGTGTTAAGCGATGCTTGAACTTCCTGGTTTATCCCTTGGAAACTGGGTTTGTGACACCTAAGACAAATTTGTTGCTGGGTGGGACGCCAGTTCTCCAAAAGGTCAAAAAGGGACAAATCAAAGAGCAACCAAGATAAAACTTAGGTCCTCGAGTAGAGAGGCTAGGATAAGGGTACCTTGTTTTCTGCAGCAACTATTTTAGTAGGGGAACCCTCCCAATCGAAAAAAAGTTGGTAAAAGGGCACCTAGCTGGGGGGGCTAGAAAAGCGGGCGAGCAAAAGTTTGTCTGGATCACAGCTCTCCTCTGAGTTTGGGGACAGGGGCCTCAGGTGGTCCGAGTGCTGGCATGCTGAAAGGCTGGACATGAAACTGACTAACCTTTAGTGGATTAAATGGAAACTACCACAAAACACTAAAAGGCTAAAAGGCTGAGGGGATGGCTGGGAGCCACCAAGAAAAGGCGAACCTTTTTGGGACATCGTTACTAAAAATGGACCAAGAATGGGAAAACCAAAAGGTGAATAGGTCAGCTGTCCCTTGGCGTTATGGGTAGTTTTCAGGGTCCAGGTACAAGGGTAAGTTGAGCCTGGCAATGTTCTTTATGTGAGTGTGCTTTTTGTTATTAGTATTACTATGATATGTATATATAATATGTAAGATATATATATATATATTATGTATATCATACTCTATATTGATTGATAATTATATGTATATATATATATATATATATATATATTATTATCGTTATATGTCATGTGTGTATATATATACATATATATTATATACATATATATGCACATTCTATAGATATTTGGGTGGGGTTCCAGGACCGCCCTTCGGAGCACCGTCACTCGCGAACTCCGAGGCGCCAAGTCCAGATGCTGAAAGCCCAAGGTCTCCACCTGGCGCTCGCTCGGAGCTCCGCCGCTTGGAGCTCGCGACCAAGCGCGAAGCGGCGCGGGTGGGGCTTGGGTGCGGCCGCTTCGCCGCTTCCACTTGCGCTGAAAGCCAACTAGTTTGTCCAGTGATTCGCTTTAAAACCCGGGGAGAATGAAAGGGGTTCCGAATTGCAAATGGAAGAACATATGGTGTGAAAGTACGGTTTTTAAGTGCATTTTGGTTGCTGAACCATGACGATTTGGCACGATGCACGAATTACCCCATGGTGGACGAATCCAGTTCGCAGCCAGTGATTTATGACAGTGTTCGTGGAATTTCAAGCATCCCAACTGGTGCCAGGTGGATGTCCATCCTCAGCAACATCTTTTTGCAATCAACTTATGGGTGCGCAATATCCTTGCGGACCATTTAGTGGGCATCCCTTACATGCGTAGCTACCGCCGCCAACCATGTTCGAAGATGTTCCCCAGTCAAGTTCAAAGCCCTACATATTGAGTATACTGGTCGGCTGCCATTTAGTTCTTAGAAACACCATCCCAAAGAGTGCCCCATGTTCTTCGAAAACACCCATGCCCTCTGCCACTCGCTCCCTCCCTCCCTCCCTCCCAGCCACACACTATTGGACACACACGCATCTGTTAGAAGGCTCGGTTCCATCTGTGTTCACCCTTGCCGACTAACCCGAGTGGTATCCAGCACCGGAACGCCCTGGAACCGATCCCAAGCTGCCCGAGACCACCCCGATCGAGCAAAACGATGTCTGGGCTAAGGAGGAGTTTCGTTTCCCATTCCAAATACCCTCTACAATAACCAGGGGTTCAAATCCCAACCCACACACCCAACCCGCCACTTCAGGGTTACCTGAAAAACGCTTCCTGCTGGAGAGAAAAGCAAATCCCCGGGTGCGTTTCCTCGAGGCGACAATCAGCGCCAGAGCAAATTGGCGCCTCACCAACTTCGGGGTCTGAACATGTCTGAAATGCATCTCTTTGCCAACATGGGAGTAAATCTCCGAAAGGGTGGAAATCGAATTTCGGTGGGATTCACGTCCAATATATCACCGATTAGATAATTCCAACTCTCAAAGTTGAATTGCCGCAACAAGCAAACTACAAGGAATAGCCGTAGGCAGACATGGCTGGTCGCACTTGAACAGCTTGTCCGTAGATGCCTCTCATTCATAGGCTCGCTACATCGGGGGGCTAGGACATCCATTCAAAAAGAAGCAACGCCCAAAACACGAACGTTTCTGCGATTCGCCTGCCCCAAAATTGTTGCTTTCAGTGCAAGTGGCTCCGACTTGTCGAAAGAAGCATCTTCTCTCACAGCCAAGTTATGAACTCCAACACCACAACTAAAGCGACAACATTGGGCATGCGACGAAATGCATCTGCTCATCTTCTGCGATGTCAGAGTCCCTTGAAACTCGGCCAAGCCGAAGCATCGCTGAAGCATGCTAAGCCCTTGCAAAGGTGAAGGCACTTGGAATAGCAGCACGCACTGCCATCAACACTCCACAAGTAAAGCGACAAACTTGGGCCAACATGGGTGTTCTGTGTTGGTTGCTTGAAGACAAACAAAGGTCCAGCCCATTTCATTTCGAGGCATGTGAGCAGCGCCCAAGTCCCATTGACTTTGGGTTCTAACATCCTCTGAGATTTATATAACCCCTATACTCAGTTGACGTTGGAAGGGGAGCAAACATCTAATTTTAGCAGTTAAGTGGATTTGGATTTCAACCACTCAACCACAATAAGCTCAAAAATGGGAAAAGTGTGTCCCAACAACAACCATGTATACACCCCATAAAACCCACGAAACCCAGCCACTTGAGTGGTTTGTTTCTGGGGGTGGGCGCTGAAAAACAGGCCCGTGTCCCAACAGCCCCGTGTGACGCCTGCAGCTTCAAGGCCATGGGGTTGTTGGCAACGCAGATGATGTTGTTGATGCCTATGCGGGTTCTCCAAATGGGTCTGTCTTCTTTGAGAAAACAAACAACAACTTTTAGGTTGGTGAAGAAGGAACACCAAAAGGAAGGCCTCCTGTTTTTTGTGTCTTTTTTGAGGGTACCTTTGCTAGGGTGCCCAGCAAGCTTAGCTTTTGGCTCCCGCATGGATATGAAGTTCCGTCAAAATGTGCTGTTCACAGTAAGTACGTTCGAATTTAGACAGCCCCCTATCGTTTTCCAGGGTTTGGTCTATAACACAAAGGTATAGTTTTTTGAGAGTCCCCTATCGTTTTCCATGGTTTCAAGCTCCTTGAGCTATATGGATGTCCAAGTGTAGACTAGTTTCCCTTTCCGTAAATTCTGACCGCGCTTCATATGTGTTAAAACGAATGAGGGGTATCCAAAAGCTAGAGTCTGAAGATCCAACTCAGCAGTAGAGTGTGTTGGTGAACACCAAAAGCAAAGCTTCCTGGTGTTTTTGGCGGGATACCCAAAGAGTCATGTTAACCCCTGAAATATCTGAAAACCTGTCCTAGTACCAGGGGTGTGAGCTCTCCGAAAGTGACACATGCCTACTAAAAAGGGACACCGGGGGGGCCCGAATCCCATTTTGAGAAGCTCCCATGCACATGTCCAAACAAAAACTCGGAGGCTTCGCACAAAAATGCATCGCCACGACAAATGATGGAACCACTTGCATGGAATCTATGCAAAAGATTTGGGGACATTGGAGAGATTGGAGCTCTGTCTCATGTGCTCCCCACATGAATGATACCGTAGCTTTGGTATTGCCCACCACGCGCTAATAAAAGGGAGTCAAGCATGCCATTGATGGACGAAATCCTACACCAACTCGAATTCCTGGAATGACTCGATTCCCCTGTAGCTACTGACAATGGTTTCCTTGCCATGGTTTCACTTCGTGGTGCGGTCTGGGGTTTTGCCTCACCATTTACAGTGCCCCTTTGCGACACAGTTTCCTGGGTGAATTATAATATTTCACCAGCCTGAAACTTGCGGTGGTAGAGATATTCCCCACATAAACCACCAAATTTGGGGGTGACTTCTGTCGTGTGAGGTCGTTGTTTTTCTTATTTTTCACCCAGTTTCATGCTGGGCCTTTGACACCAGATGACAAAAAGCAATTGGGTCACGTGGCTAGAGAAACTCACTTGCAGATGGGGCCCGGAAACCTGCGGGGTGATCACCTTTTGGGTTGCCATGAGTGGGTTGACGTGGGACAGGGAGCAACAAAAATCAAACTTTAGCAGTTAAGTGGTTGAATTTCAACCACTAAACCACAATAAGCAAAAATGTATCATGTTTCCCAACAACAACCATGAGTGGAACAAAAAACGGGGGGAAGGCCAAAAGGTCAGATTGGTCGATTCACGTTGGGCTGAGCAAAGATTGGGACATTGCAACGACCTCTCTCTCTCAAACTCGAAACCAGCAGCATGCTCCTATTGGAGTTGCCTCTCACCCGAACCCCCCCTCTTACCTCGGTGGTTCAACCAGGCCTCCGGCTGAACTTGTAGTTGGCTTAGGGGGTGGGTGTCCATTTTCCCCACAAGTTAGGTACTGTTCGCAGTAGAGCCCAGGTGATGAATCGAATCTCGTTTTGAACCCTCCCTGAAAGCTGCCCCAAACCACCCCGACCGAGCCAATCTGGCAGAGACCCGAAAGCTTCCAGCGGATGGGAAAGTAATCAAACCGCGTGCCCTGGGAAACAACACTGGCCACGGGATGAAGCCTGCATGACAAACACACGCTAGCATGACTGATGCTTGGCCCCATTCCGGTACGAAAAATAATTCACTCACATTCTATTTGTCCCCTGGAACAAAAAACGCACACACACACACAAACCCTTTAGAACCAACAGAGCAGCAAACATATTCTTAAGCTCATAAAAATATAAAATTGGCTTGGAGAAGACCCCAAAAGACCTTATTGCAAGTGTGAAAGCTCCAAGTTCCATTGAGATGACTTGCGTGTAACAGGAGTTGTCTGGCTGAAGCTTCAGAATCAGCCTTGATTAGAAGTGCTAGCTCACTAGAAATTCTTTCAGCGGAAACATGCTAGGCATGGCCGGCATCGTATTTGTGCCTTCTACAAAAGCAGGTGCACGGATGAAACATTGCACTACGAAGAACGGCCCATCCACATGGAACCTCACAGGCTGTCCGGGACCGTTTTCCCTTTGAAAGGGGCCAACCAAGTTTTGGGTGGGTGCCAACAGGGATCCTTACATTATACACCTAAACATTGCAACCTGTAAATGGCGGTCTCCCTCTATTTTGGTCCTGAAAAAGCAACATGTGTCAAATGGTTGCAAAATGGAGATCTTTTAAGGAGCCTTGTCCAACGTGGACCAACAAATGGCAATGACTTTGAAGCAAATGGCGCCGAGCGGTGGGCAAAAGATCAGCTCCGTTCTGCTCCCGATTCCTGGGGGCCGCGGCCATTCATGAAGCGCAAGGCCATGACTGACCTGGACATCCCAGTGGCGCCAGTTTTCTCAGGAAAATGGGCCTATCTTTTTAGGGAACCTCTCAACTGGTGGGTTTCGGTTTCCTTTTGGTTTCCCCTTAAAACCGCCAAACACATCCCAGTGGCTAGATTCTCACGAAAATCGCTTTTTAGGGAAACCTCCTTAACATGGTGGGCGTCCTTTTGGTTTCTCGCGAAAAAACACACCAACAAAAAGAGGGACACTCAGCAAAAGGCAGACCCAAATGTGTCCCGCGCACCAAGATGCCAACATCTGCCAACCAATCTGCGGTTTTCTGCGTGGGTAAAATCCTAGCCAGAACAAGGTGTATCCAAGTGAGTTATAATCGAAAAACCTGGCATTAAAATGGCCGTAATCTCAAAACGCTGCAGAGAATTTACCCGGCGGATTCCTGCTCCCGTTTATGGCAAGGGGATTGTCCCTTACCCTCCAGATTTTGCTGGATTTTGAGCAAGTGACTCAAGTGGGGTCTCACTACCTTTGACAGATGCGGTTCAATGCGAAGTTTCATGGTTCACGTTCTCCGCAGGGTCAACCTGTTTTCGATCGCTTGGTGAACACAGGGGTGTGACTGCGACCATGATCCTTGAACAAGGACCCAGCTGAACTTGCCAGTTGAAGGGCAAATGGAAAGCCAAACATGCAAACAGTTAAACTCAGTTGTTCAGTGACCCAGGAAAAAAAGGGAACCCATTTTTGGGCTTGGACCATTTTAGTGGGGCAGCCAGCCAAAAAAGAGGGAAAAAGGGAGCCACTCAACAACTGAGAAACAGTTCAAAGGTCAGTTTTGGCATAGAAATCTGGGCTGGACGTCTGATGCCCTGCTAAAAGTGCCTAACTTGTGGGTAAAATTCGGCAACCCAACCTCCTTTCACCAAACCTACCATAGCTAAGCCGGATGGCTGGTTCCAAACCATCAAGTCGTACCCTTACAAATGGGTTCTGGCCCCAAGGTTCGTGGGCGCATTCCCTTTTTTACGGGTCGTTTGATGGCATCCTCAAAAGACCAAAAAAGCAAATCCAGAATTTCCATTTTGGTGAGCTCTCAGGCTCAAAAGACAAGTACATATATATATACATATATATATATATATTGTATATATATATATATAAAGGGATAACAACAAGCGATAAATGCGATAAAACAAACAAAAGCATAATTTCCAGGTTGGGCGGGGGCGGCCTCGCGGTCTTGAAGAGGCTCTGCAGGCTGGGTGCAGCATCGAAGAGCGCGGCGTAAATCGCCTCACCTGGGACTCGGTGACATCACCCACTGGGACGTCTTGGGCGTGGCTCAAAATTTAAGCCAGGGTTACGCAGGTGCTAGGGGACATTTTGAGTACACTATTTTGAGCCACAGCCTCTTTTTCTTCGCCAAATTGGTGTCTGTGGTCAGCCACTGGTAAGTGAGTGTCTCACTCCCCAACAACGTTCCACTTTGGCATATGGGTGTGAGTCAAAATTAAACCAGCAGGATGTGGACCGCAGGTTTGAGTCCTTGGTTCCATTTGCCAGGAAGCTATTTTGGGTACCCATTTTTGACCTACAGCTACATCACCCACTGGGAGGTCTGTTTCGCCAAGCGAGTGTCTGCAGTCAGCCACTTGGGTTTTTGTTCACTCTTAGTAACGTTCAATTTAGGGGGGCTGTTCAGTGGGTATAACCTGGGTTACCAACGACTTATCTTACTAACTCGGCTGAACACGCAAGCACCTTCTGGGGGAGAGGGAAGGGGGAGGTCCCTTATCCCGCCAAAAGCTAACATGAAACCATAAATGGAATTCCAGGGGTCGAAATCTCCTCTGCCCCAATTCCATGTTTAAGGGGGCCATTCCCCTGGGGACATAGGTTCGGATACTTGTTTTATTGGGAAACCACAAAAAACACTGAAATTCTATTTTTTGAGTCGCTTCCCTTTCATAGTGCTTCTACTTTCTGTACTTGTCCCATTTTGGACAATCCCAGTGATTCCATTTACCTAGTAAAGGCAGTTAACCAAGGGAACCACCCTTTAAAAACAAAGAGGAAAATGGCTGGTTTCCTACTTATGTGGCAACATAGTGGTAACTTGGATCCACTGGGAATGAGTTTTTTGTTTTTCCTTGACAGGTGGAAGCTTTGGGGGCTCTGCCCAAATAAGCTCTGGGGTGGTTCGGAGTGGCTCCGGGTCAGTGTTGCGGAAGAGTTCCGGGGGGTGCTGCTTCCGATATCACCTGATGCGTTTCTTCTTCTCGTTTACATTTTTCTGGGGGGGGGAAGGGGGGCGGCATTGTTCAGTATCTAAGTAGAACATGGGTCAAAAGGTAAAGCTGTCACAGGAAGGGGGGCAGCATGTAAAGGAGCGTCACGGAATTTCTCTTGGCTAGCCAATCAATCGAGTATGATTGAAGGTAAACAAAAAAACAACTGAAACTGCGACCAGACACCAACACCCAAAGAGCCAACCCAAAAAGCCAACTAAGCCATAACAGAGAGGATTAGCCTTGAAAGGGAAACAACAACTTGTGTGTTTCTGGACTACGAACCTGAAAGAGAGCCGCAAACCACACCGACAGATCGATTCAGCGAACGTGGCCTGGGTCCTCCAAGGGTACCAACTTTTTTCTGCAGTCTATTCTAGTAGGGGAACCCTCCCCGAAAAAAGGGGTCAAGCAGGGCACCTAGCTGGGGGGCCTAGTGGCTGCTTGCTGTCATGCCCCGACTACACGGCTGAACTCTGCCCCAAACAGCATGGCGCAACTGCTCGCACGTAGGGAGATCAGGTGTCACGCTGGCTTCCCGTCGGCAAAAAAGCCACGGGCACAACCGGGGCCGAATCAACTCATTGAGCTGAGATCCCGGGGCATAGGTGACCTTCTGGAAGCATCGATTCCGGCAGGGGCATATAACCTACTTGGCATGGGCTTGCCACACGTTTTCTTCTTGGATCCCCCTACTACACACAGACAGAACCAACCAAAATACAAAGAAACCCCAAAAAAACCAACATGCCAGCAACAGCACAGTCATGCAAACGCCCGTGGGTGGGTCCAGCCAAACCTATGACTAATCCGCGCCTGCGGCTTCCCTGGAGCTCGAGGTGTTGATGAACAGCTGCCAAACCTCAGAAAAGCTCGGCTTGAGGCGCAAGATCGACACATGTCTCCAGCCTGGCAACATCTTTTTGGGGGGTCTCTATACATGTGGGTGTTTGTCTCCTGAGTTGGTACCGCTTTGTACTATTTTAGTGCTTAAAGGGAAGCCAAAAACGAACTTTGGCGGGTTTCCTAAAAAAGGACAGACCCATATGTATATACCCTTTGTCCAACAATCATGGAAGTGGACAAAGGGGTTGCCCAAAAGGAAAATAGTCTTCCAAAACCCTCCTGTCAGCTTCCATGATTGTTGGAGGGAGGGTATATATATATATACACATATCTTATGTACATGTACCCCCCAAAACAAAAAAAAGGCGCCCGCTTCTCCAGTAAGGGAAGTCAGGTCGATGTGGCAAGGGATCTTCGCCGAAGTGGCTCGTACAAGGTTGGCAGACTTGCGCAGATGATTCACTAAGCCTTTGCCATCCATTTGAGTAGTATTTGGGGGTGGTACAAAATACTTTTTCTGGCGTGATTCACAGAATGCCTTCAAACAACCTTGACATGGGTGAGCAAACAAGATATCCACACCCTTTTTGATAAAGAGAGCGTCTGAAGTCCTCCACAAATCACAATCAAACCGATAGCTGATTGGCAGTCAAACATCAAACTAATACGAACCGCTCACATGTCCAAGCAAGTATCAAATGAAGCAGGTCTACCTCCCAAGCAGTGCCCTTTGACTCTGGGTTGTCCTCAAATCCCCGACTAAAACTGACACTTTAGCGGGTTACATGCAACCCGAACCACTAAACCAACTAAACACAACTAAAAACCAAAGGCACCGCATGGCTGGAACACACCAAGGTAAGTTATACCCTAAAACATGACCAACAAAAAAACAACAAAACTGCTCGGAACCGGACGATTCGCTGAAAAAGCCGCCACGCGAATCGACGCGTTTTCACGCGCAACTGGGGCTTCCCAGCACTCTGCGCCTCTGCAGCGATTTCTGGGGGAAGGTGAAGCTCTTCAAAGACCATCTCTTGGACAGCCTGGCAGGGCAACTTGCTCCAAAAAAAAAAAAAAAAAAAAAAAAAAAAAAACATCTGAAAATACGGCCTGACAACTCGGTTGCGAAATCTGCTCCCCTGCTAAAAGTGACTAACTTTTAGTGGTTTAATGGAAAACCCATTAGTTGGCAAACACTCAAAGTCTTAACATCCAAGCGAAATCCAACAAGGAACATATATCTAACATTGCGACTCCCCAAACTGGAAACCCAAACTGAACATATCTTAAACTACTGCTCCAAAACCGGAAGCACCTGAAGCCACTGCCAACATCTGAAATGACAACTCCCAAATATGTCTGAACATGTACGGGACTTGTGCGCAGACTTCATGGCTGAGTAACTCCCGGTGAGCTCGTTGGAATGACCTTCCCTGTGCTCGTTGCAAATCTGGGCGAGCAAAGCCTCACCTTACGTGGCATAACTGTTTTTGGGTTGTTTGATGTATATTTCTATACCTTCCATGTCCATTCTTTCGAGGGATCCTTCTTTTTAGAAAACTTCTGGAAACTTTTTTAGAACGACCGGCTCTTGAAAAGAACGATGGTTGAAAAGAACCATGGTTGAAAAGAATGGGGAATCAACCCCAGACTAGTTGGTGGCTTGGATTGCAACAAGGGCATTCATGGAATCCCTTGAGAGTGGCGTTCCCTCTGGTGCATCCAGAGGGTACTCAGGTAATCCCCAGTTGGTGATTTGGTGATTTGGTGATCTGGCTTTTGAGGATTTGTTTTTGGGGGCGTTCAGGGAACCCGGTCTGCTTGATGCTGCGCCCCGGACTGACAACGCGTCTGTGCCCTGATACATCCTGGGTAGACTCAAAAGAAGCCACCACCTAGGTAAATGGAAACAAAGCCTGCAGCTTGCCCTAGCTCTTGACAAAAATGAGCCACACCCAAGTCTGCAAAAATGGGTACCAAAGAAGTTCGTACCCTCCCTCCTCCCAGCATGGCACCTAACATGGGGTCCCAAGAGGAAACTTACCTTCCAGCCCTCCCCACCACTGCCGTGGAAGGGGAATTACATTGCCAGACATGGCTAAGTCATAGCGGAAACCCAAAAAGCTGCCGTCATCTAAGTCTGGCAATTTCTTTGAGACTTCATTGTCTACCGTGGATGCTTGCGTTAGCCTCTCAGGCATCACCTCTCAGAAACCCTGGTTTCTGCTCTGATTCCCCTGTATATACCTTAAGAAACGTTATGGTTTCCAGCCTGGCTTCTTGAGTGGTGCGAACGGATTTCGCGTCACCGTCCGCAGTAACGTTGACCCCACATTGATCAACCCCTGTTTATGAATATGGGGGTGTCCCTGGGTTTATTACTGGGGTTGATGAATATGGGCTTCCATTTTAAGACCCCTGGAAACAAAAAAAAACATATGTGAAAAGTGGGTCTGGCAGTTGCCACTTAGCCACAAACCGAACGAACGCCATTTGTTCTGCGCGTTTGCGCCTGGTATTTCTCCACACCTCAGCGACATTTCGCTGCAGCGATGCCACGCAAAAAGATCTGAGCATCTCCAGACCACCCCCCCTGCTTCCAAGAAACTTGGACAATGCATTTATAAATAACACACAAGTAAGCCAACTATCCAGATGCACTGCCATGTCGCACATTAACCAAAACAACTGTAAGGTCAGGCCATCACGGTGCAACTTACATTCTGGCAGCTTCCTGCTCCTCTCAAAATGGCCATCGCCTCTCTCGGCGATTGCACGTCGACATGTTTTTGAAGCCCCGGGGTCGTATCGGCGTTTATTTTCCCAGGCCCTACTGGATTTCAAGGGCATTTCTTTGGCCGAGTTCAAAGGAAAACTGGGCTGTCCAAACTGATCCCCTGCTAAAAGTGCTAAACTTTGAGCATTAAGTGGAAACCCTTCCACGAATCCGTGAAACCAAAGAGGACGGCTGCGAACCCGGAGACTCCCTCGATTTCACCCCGCCCCGACAAGCCCTTCTGGAACATCCATCTGAAGCGAACATGCCTCGGCCACCAGTCCAGAAATATGGACACAAAAGGGGGGCGTCTTAAAATGACGCAACCCCTAAAAAAGATGGTCACGTGGAAAAGCTTGTCACTTCGGATTTCTAGACGTGATTGATACGCGAGCATTCTGTACAGGCCTGAGGCTGAACTTGCATAGTTCCCACCTGGATCCCAAGAGATGGCATCCAGGAGGCTAGCCGTTTTCAGGGCACCCTTCGTGCGGTTGTCTTTATTAAAAAAAAGAAAAAGAAAAAGAAACACCATTCTTCTAAGGCTTGATTCCCCATTCTTTTCAACCATCGTTCTTTTCGAAAACCGATCGCTATTTTCCCTGGGTTGCCGGAGGTTTTCTAGAAAGAAGGATCCCTGGAAAGAATGGACATATAAGGTAGCACTAGAATTCTAGGAGTTCCCCGCTGAGACAAATGGTCATGGGTCAAAATCTCGAACCCCCAGTGAACATCCCAATGGCCACTAAAACAGACTAAAAGGGGTGGTGCACCTACCCCAAAATGGGATCCTAAAACGGCTTTGACAACCACAGCCACATCCCTCAAACACCAGCCAACCCTTGCAGTCCGGCGGCTGGCCCCGAGATCTACGACTTCCTCCACCTGCGCAAATTTTGACGCAGTGGTGACGCGGCTTTGATTTCCTATTCCCTGGCCTGGCCGTTTTCGGATTCCCCGCTGAAAGTTCTTAGCGTTTGGTTGGTTAAGTGGGGTCTCCAACCACAAACAAAAAACACCCAATTTGCCAGGGGTTTGGCCCATGATTTGAGGAGAAGGATCCCTGAAGAGAATGGGGAAGGTATGGGTAGATTGACATTCAGGTGACTCCAAATCAATCTCAAAGCCTATTCAAACAGAACCTGCAGGCGCTCTGTTTATGTATGTAGACGTATGTGTAAATCAATACACTCGAAGAAGCAGCCGCTTTCAAGATGCGGTCCGCAGTCCAAGTGAGTTGCTGGGTTGATCATGCGTGAGAAGGTGGCATTCAGCAGCCCTACGTGTCGCAGCCATCACTGCAGTGCAGAGACTGCTAAACAAACAACTATGCCTGAGTGAAGACGTGCATTAAAAAAAAAGAAGAAACAGTTGCTTGCAAAAGACCAAAGATTGTCTGCCTTGGCCGTCTCGACACTCCTTCGAATATTACCGAAGTCCAAAAGCGCGTTGATTCCTCCGGGGCTCGGAAGCTCAGAAGCTTTTTTGCAGAGAATGCTTTAGACAGCAAAAGGATCCCCCCTGCAGGGGGGGAGGGGGGTGGGGGGCCGGGACCCAATTCCCATTTTCTGGTCTTCCCGACAAAAGGGAAAACGGAACCAGAAATGGACTTTCAGGGGTCGAAATCCCCCCTCCCCCAATTCCATTTTTAAGGGGGTGGGGATGCAAAAGGATGACAGCGGAAGCACAACAACGGCACTTCTCTCCTCTTGGTTGCTCTTACGACTCCCTCTGCACGTTTAACTTGTGGGTCCAATATGTCCAATGGATAAAACCAGTTGCCAAACAGTGAGGACTTCCAGATCCGTTATTGCCATCAAGTCCCAAAGTGGTTTCTTAAGACCCAACACTTCCCAGATCGCCCAGTCTGCCAGCGTCTGCGTCACGACGGCACTGGCTACCACTCGGCTCTCGTGGGTTGAGTTTGGGCGATGGGTGGCTGGAAGAAAAAGTCTTCGTGGCACTTGGATAATGGAATGGCCTTTGAATAATGGAATGGCCATGGGTCAAAATCCAAATCGGTTAGCCCCCAGTGAACATCCCAATCCCCACTACTAAAATGGGTGGCACTGCCAAATGGGTGTCTCGTCCTCTTAGGAAGAAGGAACTGGGACCGCACAAATTGTCCGCTGTTCCGTCTTCCTCTTGGTTTCCCTTGAAAAACCCAAGCAACGCGGTCCCCTCAAAAAAAAAAACACGAAAGGTTCCCCATGCCGAGGCCTCTCCCAGCCGAAGGAAAGCGGCAGAGCTGAAGTCGGGGGGCACGTGGTTCGTCTGGGCTTTGGGGACTTTGACGGGAGCAACTGGAGCAAGATCTTCCATTTGAGTCATAAACCAAACCCGGTATTAAAAAGACCCAGAACCATGTAAAGAATTAAGAAGGCGGCCGCAGCTATTTATGGTTGGGATTGTCCCTTACTAATCTTCATCTACCCGGATTTTGATTGTGGCTCATTTAATGGTTTTTCGACACCTGGAAAAATGGGAAAATATGTGTCGTGATAAATTCCTTTTAAAACCAACAAGGGAAAAATAGTCATTTCAGCAACTGGAAGAGATGCATGGCGAAAAAAGAAGCTCACCGAAGGTTGCCGCGCCTTCGCGCCCTCGACACCCTCCTCGGGGACCTCGCCTTCTTCATCCTGACCGATCGCGAGAGGAAGGGCCTGGAAGACACAAATGGGACGTGTCAAAACGCATCCCAGCCTTTGAGCTCAATGCAGCTGCATCTGTTGTCTCAAACTAGGACCACCTCCAGAAACAAATGTGGTTCCTTGCTTCTGGCTTCCTTTTAAAACCTACCGAAAAGGAGGTTTCCAACTTCCCGGAGAAAAACACACACACACACACACACACACACTCTGGCTTCCTTTGAACGCCTACCGAAAAAGGGGTTTCCACCCAAACAAGAAACAACATATATCAGACCAAGGCCATGGTTTGATGTCTGGCTCGGCTCCACGTCTATGAGGTTCATTCATTGGTTCCAAAGGATGGCGGGGTAACGTTGGCACCAAAGAAACCACCGCGAAAAAGGAAGCCTCAACACCAGACGCCAAAAGGAACCCACGCATTCTCCGGAAGGGATGTCCGTCAGAGGCAATGTTGACCCCATATTCATCAACCCCAGTGGATTACTAGGGGCCCATAGGGCCCCTCCAAAAGTGGTCTGATTCCCCACTAAACGCAGAACCCCCCCCCTAGTAATAAACTGCGTTGGTCAATATGTCAACATTACTCTGTCACGCTTCTTCCCTACAGGGGTCCATTGAAGAGGACAATCTTCCAGGTACCTCAGGTGAAAAGTTGGTGGATGGGATCTCCCAAAACAAGACACCGATTCAGCGTACCTTACACACAAGGCCACGTCGCCCAGGCCGCGAGTCTCGAGTCGAGCAGAACAACTGGCAAGCAATGGACAGAGTCACGATACAAATTGTCAGTTTAAAAGGAAAGGCGGCTGCACCGTTCTATGGTTAGGACTGTGACTCGTTTCAACTACTAGTTACTCAGGGTTTGGTTCTTCGACAAACAGTGCTAGCTTGAGTTAACTAGCTTGTTCGACATTTACCGGGCCGATTCCGATATTGCAGCCACACCCATGACTTTCCGGACTTTTTTTTTGGGGGGGGATTCTCAGTCCCTCACTTACTCGGGAAAGCTGCGTTGGCCGGAATTCCTTCCACGCTGATTCGGAGGAGTCGAAGACTTTTTTTGTGCAGATGCGGTTGCTCTCAGGTTCCCCTGCATCGGTTTGGATTGGTGGTTGAATTGCACCGCTGGCCTTTGTAGACGGTATATGGGAAGCCACCCCACCCCTGAATCACCAAACCACGAACTTCCAAACCACCAAGAGGGGTCAGGTGATTGGAGTTCAGGGGGCTGAAACCCATTTCAGCTCACTAGGTCAACCAAACCCCTCCTTAGTCACCAAACCACCAATCAGAGGGAAGCCACGGGCTTTACAGTGAGACAAGCTGACCGCTGACCGAGAACCAGCTGGAAACTTTCCCATCAATTCAACTCGTGTTAGCGCCAGTGATCCACTGCGATCTGCCCGGGTCCGTAGTCACTTTGTTGACAAACGATTGGCCAAGGGGGCAGACTGCTGCTAGCCTTGGGACATTCATGTCTTTTGCGAGCGCAATGATACCCACATAAAATGAGGAAAACAAACATGTTGTAGAGTGGCTCCATTGTTCCACTACCAAGGTAGAACTAAACCCGGCAATGATTCATTTGCCCCATGCATGCATTTGCGGGCTCGAAGATCCACCTCCCGTTCGGCCGAACCGTTCTCTCCTCGTTGTATGCCTGGCCAAGAATTCCCTTACTTGCCCAAAGGACCTGGAAATACAAGGTTAACCTTTTGGGACCTCCACTAAACAGGGCTCCCTATATTTCCCCTTAAAACATCACACCCACCAAGGGATACTCACCTTTCACAAGCCAAAAAGGTGATGTTTAAAACAACCAAGGGAAATATGGGGACCCGTGCTATGGACCAAAACCGGAAAACCTGAAGGTCACATCGGCTTTGGGCATTTGAGTTCTTTGGAGCGCGACCACTTGCAGCCCAAAACTTCACTTCACTCCCGGGCTTGTCATCGTTGACGTTGAAAGGGGAGCAAAAATGTAAATTTTAGCAGTTAAGTGGCTGGATTTCAACCACTAAACCACAATAAGCAAAAATGGGAGAAATGGTTCCCAACAACAACCATGGAATCCCTGATTGCCCCCAGGTCGGAGAATGCCGAGACAGGAGGAGCTTGCTTGCAGTTTGACCATTGGCATAGTGCACAGAGATCCTCCACAGCGCTTGCTCCGCGTCTTGTTCTTGGACCGGTTGTTTTCAAGAAACGCACAATGAAAAACCACGGATTAGAAGAAAACCACTGGTTGATGTTTAGGGGGTGTCCCCAGTTGGTGGGAATCCTTCCTTTTTGTTGGTGACACCCCCAATTGAATTAATGAAGTGATTTTAAAGGCTCCCATTGCATTGATAATACAAGCTATGTGCTCTGTAAAGTCCCGCCATGTCAACATCTTCGAATCCAAACATGTGTCATAAAGACTTGGTAGGCGTCGCGTCTTTTGAACATTCAGCGTGTTGCTGCCAGCAGCTTCCAGAAATGAGAAACTGAACATATCACATTGCATACAAATTGTCTGAAGCGTGAGATGCAATTGCCAAGGTTGCACTGTGCTCTATAGTTCCAACTTAATCATGCCTTGAAATCACCAAACGACTATATGATACTTCACATCATTGGATACAAACATCACTGCCTGCACGTTTGAGGCTGTGGGGTGGCTTGGGCAAATGCAGTCCTTTGCATTGCAAAGCAGAAACAATGAATGCTATGCTCGCTGGGTGTTGCCCTGTCATCACGGTGACACCAGCTTTTGCACCATGGCAATTTAGAATTGTGGCACTGTTGCCTCTTTGTGAGGGGAAATAGAAGTGGCTCTATTCCCCCCCACTTTAAGGCGATCAGGAGGCACCGAAAAGAAGACGCCCTTGCTTTGTGATTTCTAGTTGGCTGGCAACATCCTAACGCAGCGTGCAGCACACTTATCTTCGAGTGCCAACCGCCGAAAATTGCTGCATGGTGCAAACAAAACATGCCTTGCGCAGCCAACTCGGGCAACACAACTCTCTCCTTCTCTCTCTCTCTCTATCTCTCTATCTCTCTCTCTCTCTCTCCTTCTCTCTCTCTCTCTCTCTCTCCTTCTCTCTCTCTCTCTCTCCTTCTCTCTCTCTCTCTCTCTGACTTTGCAAGCAACTCAGGGAGAATGGATGGATTGGATGGACGAAATCTCGCACCTAAGAAACCATGTTTGAAGCCATTGCTGGTAGTATTCACAGGGAAATCATTCCGGGTATCTGAACGGTGCTCCGAAATGCATTTCGCAACCATCCGCATGTCTTGTATTCTTCCATTTGGTTAAGACTTCTGGAAAAAATGAGAACATATTTCCAGTAGTGATACTTTCCTTTTAAAACCAACCAAAAAACATGTAGAACATATTGCCAGTAGTAGATTCGTTTTCAAACCAACACAAAAAACCAATTACATACCCTCCCTCCAACTAACATGGCGAATGACAGGGGCTCCCCTCAAAAGGAAATGCATCTTCCAGGTACCTCCCCACAAGTTCCATGTTAGCTGGAGGAAGGGTATTCATTTCAGCAACTGGAAGTCCCGTATTCCTTTCTTCTCGGAGAGGTTGGAACTCCTGACACACACATGCGTCCGTCCGCATGTGTGCTGTTGGGGGCCGAAGACTTCATGAAGCTACACCTTGTTGGGCTTAGGATAAGAGAGCAGCGCCTCATGGGGGGTGGGTGCTTTTGCTTGTTTTTGTTGTTCCTGTTTTGAGGGTGTGCCAAAAAACCACCCCATAGCCCAAGCAAAAGCCGGAGCCAAGCCTGGAAGATGTTTAAAAGCATTAGATCGGACACCAACTTGGTTGCTGCAACGACCCCCCTGCAAAAAGTTTTTGAACTTTAGGGGGGTTTAGTGGAAAGCATCATTATTTTCCAACAGTTTACAGATCCAACCCAACAGCAGCCATCGGTCTTTTCAAGAGGCCGCTTCTGCTGGGTAACCCGGGAAGTCTAGAAAGAAATACTGTGGATGGACGAAATTCATTTCGCACCACCTAAGAAACCCTGGCTTTTGATGATTCCCAGGAGAATATCAACAGAGAATGGTTTCCCATGGTTTCTTAGGTGGTGCGAAATGGATTCTGTCCATCCACAGTATCCCTGGGTTCAGAATGGACATGCAAGGTAGCCCAAGACAACTTCTGAAGCCAAGGGATCGGAAACGTAAGACTTTTGACAGATTCTCAGCTCGAGCTGTCGAAACTTGCATGGCCCGAAATCTGATGCTCCAAGGTGTGTTGATGCATGTCAAGCGGGCCTGCTTGAGTCAAAAGATGGCAAAGCCCTAGAATGGGTTATATATATATATATCTATATATATATATATATATTTATTTATTTATTTATTATCTGATTCCAACAATGGAAGTGGACATTGGGCTTCCCCAAAAAGAAAGTAGTCTGCCAACACCCTACTCGTCAGCTTCTATGGTGGAGGGAGGGTATGACTGTGCCTTGCAACTCTGTCGCCCCTTAGGCCCTGCGCTTCTCTATGCTCTTGGTGAAAGCTCCTCACGCAGTTTGTCTATGTTCGCTATCAACATACACATGGAAGAAGCGACCCTGGGGTGGACATCAGAATTCAGCGAACATTTATGTCCAATCACTGAGGCTAGGTCCTCCAGTAGAGAGGTCAGAATAAGGGTACCCTTTTTTCTATAGTCTATTTTTGTAGGGGAGCCCAAAAATGGGGGACCTAGTGGAGGGGTTTCCGACTCTCAACAGCTTATGGCGACAAAGCCGCCGTCGTCCCGCCTCGTGCTCTACCTGCTCAGTTTCTCCCTGAGCGAGGTTTTTGCCAGTCGCGAGGCGTCGGAAAAGAAAGCCGAGGAATTCCACACTGCAGATCCCCCCTGCTGTAGAGGGGGGGGTGGGGGGCCCCCAATTCCATTTAATCCAGTCTCCTCAACAAAAGGGAAAATGGAACCAGAAATGGATTTCAAGGGGTCACCCCCCTCCCCCAACTCCATTTTAAAGGGGGTGGGGATCACAGAAGTGTTTTACCCTCCCTCCAACAATCATAGAAGTAGACATGGGGCACCCCCAAAAGAAAGGTAGTTTTCCCAAACCCTCCGATCGTCAGCTTCCATGATTGTTGGAGGGAGTGTAGCATTTGGCACCCAAGCAGATTGGCCACCTCTATGAATTGGCAGCGCACGAAGACTGCTTCACAAACGATCAATCGGATTCTGGCAGTGCAAAGTCCATGTGGGCACATCAAGACCATCCTGCCTGTGGTCAAAACCTGTCTCAATGGTCGGTCTCCTCTTGGATCATTTGATTCAAAGCATACTCAACATGCACAGTTTCGCAGACCAACCCTCAAGGTCTTGAATTAGCATCAAGATCGATAGGTGTTCCTCCTATCGAAATACAGTTGGGTACGCACAATTCCCACATTTTGGGCTTAGTCATTTCCTTACCAATAAGAAGGGCGAGTCGCCGGACATTGGTACTCTGGCAGGTAAGTCGCGATCACACGAGCCCTGGTTCGATGCTAACCATGTTGTCCCACGAAGCATCAACGATGCAACCATACCGTGCTGAATATTGGCAATATGTATAATACATATATATATATTGGGATATATAAGTATATATGTAGGAGAGGAAGAGGGAGAGAGAGAGAGAGAGAGAAAGAAAGAGAGAGAGAGAGAGAGAGAGAGAAAGAAAGAGAGACATTTGAACACAAATCAAGAGACCAATTGAGAACTACATCATATCTCCTCAACGAAGCACATGCGGACATGCAGAACGCAACACGTATCATCAAACGGGGCTCGGGTTTAAAGACATTAACAGCGGTACGTCATACACTAAGCTGGGCTGTCCGAACCGATCCCCTGCAAAAAGTGTGACGTTTGGGTTGAACGAAAATCCATCCACTAAACCAACCAAAAAAGAGGCAAACCTGAGTTGCGCCGGACGATTCGCTCCGAACCGCTAAACCAACTAAACACTCAAATCTAAGTTGAACCTGGACGATTCGCTGAGAACCGCCGAGAAATGATACACGACACACCTCCCAGAACTGGAGATCTGACATGGCCATGGGTCACAATCCAAATCGTACCCCCGGTGAACATCAACCAATCCCCACAAAATTGACCAAAATGGGTGGTGAATTCACCTACCCATAAATAAGGTCCCATTTTCTGACTGGAGATCTGACATGCCATGGGTCACCCAATCCAACCACTATAGGTTCTAAAATGGGTGGTGCACCTGCCCCAAAATATGGGCCTCAGTCCCGCAGCCCCCGCCTCATGATCAGACATTCTGCCAGCTGCTCACCTCTGGCTGGGATGTTTTCTGCGGAGGGTGGCCGGAGCTACCCCCCAAACCCCTCGAAGGCGACCCCCCCTTAAAAAAGAAGAAGAAAACAACTAAGCTTGGGGTATATACACTTTATAGGCATATCACCTCCAAAAAACAACATCCAACTTGGGGGATATGCACTTTATAGGCATACTGCGGATGGTTGCGAAATCCTCTTAGGCACCATCTCAGAACCCCTGGAATGATACGATTCCCCTGTAAATACCAAGAAACAATGGGGTCAACCATGATTGCCAACTGGTGCAGGATTTCGTCCATCCACAGTATCACCTCCAAACAAAACAAGAAAAAAAGGTATGTACACTTGATAGAGTGGCTCTGCTATGCTGCATCTCCGCTTCAACTCTTCGGGGAAACCTCGGTTTGGGGGGATTGGACACCATTTTAAATGGAAGGACACTGGCAAAACCGTAATCACTGGCAGCACTGCCAACGTTCAACAGAAACATATTGCAAGCCACGCTGAAGAGCTGGTATCTCGAATGGTGGCAAGGGCCTTCTCAAAGAAAATGTGAAGTGGAAACATCGTCAATCGGTGCCTCCCTTAAGAGAAGCTCCTGGCACATCGAGTTTTTATTTGCGTGGGCATTGAAGTGTAGCAATTCGCCCAGCCCCTGAAAGTTTTGACTTTTGGTTCAATGGAAACCAATCCAGTAACCCCTTAAAAACGGAAAGCCCGAGGAATGGCTGGGGTTCAGCCACCAAGTTGAATGAAATTTCAAGCGCTGTGCTTCTCAAACCTACATGATCCGTCCTGGACAAGAGTATCTTGGCATGAAGAAGTGTCTCTCTGACAAGTACTGACACGCATGGCCCCACAACAGAGGTCGATCTCTTGTTTCCTTTGTGGTGGATTTAAACATCACTTTCTGGGTCAAACGTACTCGATGCGTTTCCTTTGGGAAGGGTAATGGTTTTAGCGGAGAGTCATGGAGCCTAGTAGAGTTCACAGAGAACCATCTCACCAGGTCAGACTTGAGTCATTTGCCTCACAGCAAATCCGCTCCCCAAACAGCATCCCAGCGTTTTCTTTGAAACAGCGTCAAATCCTTGCATCATCACTTGAGGTATCTAGAACCTCACTTGTGTAATGTTCTGAGTGCATGCTCAACTGTGGGGGACCCACCCCACTGCGTGGGCTTAGGAAGCTGGCGTCGCGCTGGCAAAGAGCGTCCGTCAAACATCACACGGGAGCAAAACTGCTTGTGGCGAACCGTTGGTGAGTTGTGACTTGAAGTTGACTCCTTGTACTTGACTTGGCTGACGTTGTAAGGAGAGCAACATTTCAAATGTAGCAGTTAAAGTGGTTGGATTTCAACCACTAAACCACAAAAAGAAAGAATGTAAAATGGCCATGGGTCAAAATCCCGTACCCCTGAACATCCCAATCCCCACTATAGACTAAGATGGGTGTTGAATTCACCTACCAACCGAAATGGGATCCCAAAACGGTTTTGACAACCACGGCCAAATGTTTCCCAAGAACCACCATGTTGAGCCCCGCGGCCCCGCGGGGAAGTGAGCCGGAACAAGACATACACGCTGGATCCGGCGTGGAAAACTGAGCCATGAGAAACAACATGCGTGGCGAGCCATGCACGGACAAGACGAGTTCCCGTTGAAACGAATACACAGCCAACGAAAAACCTCAGGATCCCTCGAATTAGGCCAGGGGTCGTTCTGTTCTTCCTCCAGAAGAGAGGTTACAATAAGGCCACCAACTTTTTTTAATGTAGTCTATTTTAGTAGGGGAACCCTCCCCCAAAAAAGGGTAAAGGGCACCGAGCTGGGGGACCTATTATCAAATAATGATTGAGGCAACTGGGCTGTTCCCCAATCCCTTGAAAGTTTCACCTGTTGAAACCACTAAACCAACCAACCACCTTAAAACCCCATGGGGGGCGGCTGGAAACCGCCAAGGCAAGCCCTCGCTTTAGCCCCGAGTCTTCACAAGAACTTCCTCCATCGCCAAGAAGGGACTGCGCTGCGTGGCTAGATTCTGGATTTCCATAGCCTTCTTTTCTTACCCCTTAAAACTCCAAGCCCTGGGGAAGTTAATAGCCCATGTTACCCAAAAAGTTGAAAAGTTGTGTTTTTAAGAGGAACGTTTTGGTCGTCTGTTTTTTTAACAGCGCCCACCCCCTCCAAAAATAAGCCCAGGTTGTATCCCCAACAGCCCAACAGCCCCGGAACCCCTGGAACCATCGACAAGCTTGCGCTTGTCTGGCCCTTTCAACCAAATCCATAGCTTTCAGATGGCTGTGGCTCAAAAACATGTACCAAAATTGCACCTGGGTACATGGAACCCAAGACTAAAACCCGCGTAACCCTAGCTGTATATTTTTGAGCCACAGCCAGATGTTGGGACCAACAAAAGCCAAAAGAAAGGCACCGGTCTGGGGTCCAAAGACTTCATGGAATCGGAGCGATCTGGGCTGCGCGCTCACAGTGAGCCTGCTGGTCGAATCTGTAGCTTGAGCAAAAGGAATGGATGGGATCGATCGGATCGACTTCTGCAAAAGCACTTGAAGCTTGTCTTAAGCCTTGGGTTGGTTTGCTGGGCCAGGTACCGGAGCTCCCTGCTTGGTTTCAAAAGGTACTGGGGTTCAAATACCCAAACGACCAATCCAAATCACCAACTAAGGGTAGCCTGAGAAGCAGCATGGGCTGTCCTAAAATGGGGGTTTTGCAGCTTGGAGGGTCCACAAGCAAACACACATGCAGCCGGCTTTCTTGACTCGACGAGAGACGGGCCGAAAACACACATCGAACAACTTGCCAACAGAAAAGAGGAAAACAAAGAGGAAAAAACTGGAAAAAGAGCCACAAACACGGAAGTTGGCGTCCTTTTGCTTTTCCTTGGCAGTCAACCAAAAGGGTCCCAAACCATTCACATGAAAGATGACGGTGGCGCGGATCGCCTGAGCCGGCCAGGGACAAGGAACCAAAACCACACCACCCCTTCAACGCAGCCAGCGGCCCTCTCACAAACCCTGGCTCCGCAAGAAAAAAGATCTTGGAAACAACCCGGCTATCAGTTGAGCACCTGGACACTCAGGCCACTGCGAAAGAATGTCTTTTGGTTTGAGGGTGCCCTTTTGGAATGGTTTTGAAAGGTAAATCAGCCAGAAAACCGCCCTTTCCTGGGACAAGACGCGCGTTCGAACCCGGGATATGTTTCTCAGTGCTCCGATGCAATCCTTGGTTAAGTCGGTTGCTTTCTGCTCCCCTGCTAAAAGTTTAACTTTTGGTGGTTTAGTGGAAAACCCATTAGTTGGCAAAAAGTTAAAGTCCTAACAGCCAAGCAAAATGCACCAACAAACAAATATCCCTTTGGCTTTTCATTAAAAGCACCGAAAAGCGGCCACCTCAAAGAAGCACCAAAGTTAAAGTTGGACATCCTTCGTTCCGGCTGAAAGGCTTCATTGGGTTTGTCTCTTTTACTTGGATGTTCGGCCAAGTCAGTCAGTGGGGATCGCCACTTAGGGTATAACGCCCTTGTAACAAGGTCAACCCCACTGAACGCGAAACTCAGAAGTGAATTGTAGCTTATACTAGGTTACCAACAACCTGCTAGCTGGGCGAATCGAAGAAGGGAGCCCGATCGTGGTGATCTCCCTCTTGTTTTTTTCTTTACCGCCAAACCGGGGGCCGCCCCCCGAAAAAAACGGCGAACACACTCACTGAACTTTGCAAGCTGGGAAAGCCCCACAGCTGACTTGGAACTGAACTTCAGGGCTGGAGCTTGACCCCCTGTACGAGGTCCAGTAGAGAGGTTAGAATAAGGGTACCCTTTTTTTCTGGAGCCTATTTTAGTAGGGGAACCCTCCCAACCACTAAAGAGAAGGGTACTGTGGGACCTAGTTTATGAGCCGGCAGCCCATGGTCTGCTGTGGGGGTGGATCAATATTCCGAAGGCCCCCCAGTTCTGAGCATGGGTAACTTTTCCCATGTGGTGAAAGTCATCAATTTGTTGGTGGTTTCCGTACTGGCCATCCCATATACAGCAGAGGTTGATCACTTTTCGTGATGCGGTGTTGCTCTCTTTGGCAATTCTTCTGCAGAACTCGCAAGCAAGCCGTTCGGCTGACATCTTGCAGCTCCGTGAAGGCTAAAACTACCTCAGGAGTTTCTGAATACAGTGCAGACCATAGGTCTCCTTTTGACATAGATGGGTTTTCCTGGTAAATGAGTCACAGTCAAAACCCGGTACAAAAATGGTCGACCCAGAACCATGCAAAGAACTAAGAAAGCGGCCGCAGCTATTTATGGCTGGGATCGTCCCTTACTAACCTTCACTTGCCCGGGTTTTGATTGTGGCTCAAATGGGCATTCGAACTCTCCTCAAAAGGACACCTATGGTTCAAGCACTCCGGGCCCATTGCAACATCTTTGGGTGATTTGACCCGGACGAACCCGGAATAGAATGGCCACAAGGAACAAGCACGCCTGCTATTTGCAGAATGAACCAAAGAAAGAAAGAAGCAAACAAGTCAATCACATCGAACACTAAGAATCAACAAACAACTAAACATATCATTGCGAGCAATGAACACGGCATCTCTGTTGGCACTCGCCAAGACGCCTCTAAGGCAACTCGCAGCCTGGGAGCCAGGTCAGTAAACCGCAACAGATGATGCTTCAACCAGGAACACATTGACGGAGGGGCAAACCGCAGGTGTTTTTTCATCTTGTTCATTTGCCAAGGTGCCATTTTTGGGGGGAATTCATTGCTCAAGACTGGTGGAACTTGAGAAATTGGGGGATTGGCACCCCAGGCTCACCTCCGCAAGACAGCGCGCGAAACAAAACGCGCGGAAAGCAAGCTGTTTTCTGGGGCTACCTTCCATGTCCATTCTTTCCAGGGGTCCGTATTTCTAGAAAACCTCCAGAAACTTAGGGAAAACGGCTGGTTTTTGAAGGAACGATGGTTGAAAAGAATAGGACATCAACCCCTCATGCAACATGAAACATGAAAGCGGGCCTTCGGCGTCTGGTTCATTGAACTGGAAAATATCAGAGCGCCAATTCAACCGAAGAAGCATCACAAAGTCCGCGCGTAGATTTGCAGCTTATTAATTCAGTTTCCCTTCCTGGTTTGAGGGCTCCCTCAATTCTATGTGGTGTTGATAATCATGGGACAGAGGAAGGGTACATCAGGCATGCAAGGAATCAAGAGTTTCTCGGTTGAGTCCATAAGAATTGCAAGTAAGCGAGCCACAACTTGTCTCAAGAGGACAATCCCTTTACCAATCCCGGCGTAGCATTGACAAATGAGATTGTGGTTCCATTTCGGGAAATCAAATGTCTAGGGTCAAGCATTGCCTGACATGAATTGCCTGGTTCACCCCCGAAAAACGCCACCCCTTCATCGCAGAAAGTTAAGAAGCTGATGCTAAACAAGCCAAGACAACCCACTAGTCCTCCTTATTGCTGTCTTCTGAGTGTGTCCTTTTTGAGGCCACCCTCGTCGGTCGGTTTAAAGGAAAACTCAATGACACCCCTATCGACTAAGAAACAACAAACAACTCTAAAGGCACACCCATATCTTCATAGTCGGTTGGTTTCTTAGCCGACGTTGTGCGTCGGTTATTTTGACATCACACCCATATCTTCCACTTGCTCCAGGCGTGCGAGGCTGCCCGGCCGGCCGTATGTTTACCGCAGGAAAGCGGAAAAAAGTCAGCGCTAAAGCGACCGACGGAAGGGCAGATCCCTGCTTGTTTCTGTTGACCTTGAAACCCTGGATTTTTGCTTAAGACCCCTGGAATAAATAAAAACTACTTCCAGTAGCGAGAATTTCCCTTTAAAACCAAGGGACAGTAACAAACCTATTCATTTCAGCAAATGGAAGTGGAATTGTTGAGCCCTTGGAAATTGCCAGGGAACAGGCGCGGCAACCCCTGTGAATCGCCTCAGTCGTCAGACTCCTCCTCAGATGAGGAGGAGCCATCGCTGCTCTCCGCGCCAGAGGCACCTGACGAAAAATAGATTCAAAGTGGGTTGGCCCATTCGGAGTCTAACTGCTGGGGTTCCAGTTCGGACTTTAGTTGCACTTTGTGGGTTTTGGAGAGTTGGTCAAACCAAGAGTTTGTTAAGCACCGTACCATTTGTAAAGGAACCTTGTGGGGTTTATGTGGATTTGGGGAGTGATCTTGGTTGCTGTTGACCCCTCTCCAAACAGTGTTTCACTTTTCGTGGGCTCAACGGAAAACCGTGGATTTCCAAGATCCAGCCCAATGGCAATCAAGCGATGGTTCGCCTACGAATCTGAGAGAAAGGACTCTCCTCTGCCAGGTTGCAAAGGCGCCATGTGAAGAGCGGCTTTTGGAACAACGCCGACACTCAGAAAATAATAAGGAACAAGTCAGCTGAAAACCGAAAGTGGAGTATTGAGTGAGCCAGATTGGCTTTCCATGTCACTTCTCCGGGCGACATGAATTCGGAGGGTCAGTGTTCAACTCATTGGCGTTCATTTGCTTCAGCCCCTGGAACAAATAAACATATGTCCAGTAGTGAAATCGATTCCCAATCAAACCAACAGGGGAAAATAACAAATATTGATTTCATCAAATATAAATTGGAGGAACTCGAATCTAAATGAATCCAGCCTGTGTGACTGCTTGGATCCAGCACATCTCACTTCCGATCGAGCGGAAGGGCCAGACAGCCACTAAAAAGGTCCAAACACATAAAAAGTACAAAGGCCAGGGACCCAGGGACTTCGCACCAGTTGGGATGAATGAAACCTATGGGACAAGCCACTTCGCCTGGTGTAGCTGAACAGGCCAGGAAGCCACGACTTCCGCAACGAAAAGTCTAGGAAATCTTCCCTGCAATGCCTCAAGTAGCAAAAACCCGGGATCTAGGGGGGAAATCGGACAATGGCGTGCTAGTTGAATCGGTTTGCAAGCATCCAAGTTGACAATCCTTGAGGTGCATATGTCGCTACACACTGCGCTCCAACACCAAATGACTCGCTGGCTCTCGGAATGGGTTGGACTGACCATGAACCACCCCCTATGGTGTCCTTTATCCGTGAACCCCAAACGGTTCATTCCCAAACCCATCATTCTCTACCTCTCGCACCAAGACGAGACTCTCTGAGCTCCTTTCGGGTCACGTCCCCGGCCGCCGACCGACGCGGGCGCCCGCCGCCCCGTCGCCTTGGCTTGGGGCGTTGGAGGCATAGGACTTCCGCGCCCTCGGAGTGCCCTTCGGCCTCGCCACGCGCAGAATCCTCGGCGCGGCGCTGCGATCGAGAGGACCGCTCCGGGGTGGGAACGGGGTCTTGGGAACTCAGTTGTTCAGTGACCCTAGAAAAAAAGGGAACCCTTTTTGGGAAGACCATTTTAGTGGGGCAGCCACCCAAAAAAAGGGGAAAAAGGGAGCCACTCAACAACTGAGGGAATGAAGTTTCCTTGAAAGGAAACCAGAGACGGTTTACTCACTTCCTGAGTGGATTGGTCAGAAAAAGTCCAAACCTTTCGTGTACCGCTAAAATGGTCCAAGCTCAAAGTCCGTAACAGGACTCAGGAAGTAAGTTGCCGTGATGTTCCATCCAGATGGCCAACCGCAACCGGGCATCTCTTGACGGTAAAGAGACCCAAATCCCCGTCCACATCTTCCCAACAAACATGTCGCTCTGATTGGCATGCCCTGGAAGTTCCATTCCAGCAAATGCGACGAAGAGCATTTTATTTGTTTTGTTGCAAACCGGAGTCCGGCGACATTGGAGGCATAGCCACCAAGAAGGACAACCTTGACTAGGTCCTCCAGTAGAGAGGTTAGAATCAGGGTACCCCTTTTTCTGTGGTCTAGAGAAGGGCACGATCCTGGGGGACCTAGTTGAGAATAATTCAGCTAGGCCGTGAACCGGGCGGCTTCCACACACTATGGCGGCGAGCTGGGGAAAACCTCACCACAGGTCTACCGGGAGGCAAAGCACGCCCGGAAATGTATCCGTTCGCACCACTTTGAAGCCATGTTGAACCATTGTTTGTTGGTATTTACAAGGGAATCATCATTCCAGGGTTTTTTAGGTGGCGCAGGCATTCGTCCATCCACAGTAGGGATATGTTGCCTTACAGTAACGGTGCGTTGCAGATGCGCAACTCCTAAGCTGCAAAGTGCGAACTCGTGCTGATACTGTGGACAAAATCCTGCAGTTGGAATCCCGGAAGCCCCCATGAATATTGGGAGAAGCCACTTACCAAGTGGTCCGAAATGCATCTCATCAATTCACAGTATCAGGTCGCCTTTCAAAGCTGCATTGGACGGAGACAAACATCTGGTATCTAAAGGCCATTCATTGTGTTGAAGCAACCTAGATAGCCAAGTTGCTGCTTTTTTCAGTCACTGTTGCTGGTTTTTGGGGTAAAGTGGATGGAAAAAAGCAGCAACTGGCGATCCAGGAATGCGTCTGCATACCATGAGCTCAGAATGGTTTCGGGTCGATCCAAAGTGCAGCATGCGAACAACATGCACCAGTCATGACTCCACGATCCATCCAAAACGGAGTGGTACCCACGTGGCCCACTTCCCGGGTACGCAGAAAGGCATATAACTTCAGGTTTTATTCCAGGTGTGGTCTACCTTAACCGTACCATCTCTACACTTGGTATCGTAGCGGAAAAAATGGCGTTTTTCTAGACCCCCAGTAAAAATGAACAGAACTAAAAAAACTAAACACTTAAAAAAAAAAAAAAACATGCCAAGAACAGTGAAGGTACAATTGTTTTGGTATTGCAGTCCCCCCCAAAATAAGCTCCCCAATCAATCTCGCCCATTTTCACGGCTCCCAGCGGGGTCAAGGCGATTCCTGCTGCATGTGCGCTGGGTTTGCCTCTGACTCCTTGTTCTTTTAGGCAGATTCCAGGAATCTTCAGTTTCAGGACTCACCTTTTTTGCGGCACTGATGTTTGGTTCCCGTGGCAAAGTCTGCGGTGTGCGATTGCGCAGCCTCTGGACTGATCTACTCTTTGACCTACAACTCATCATCGCATCAAAGGTGGTAACAAAAAAGCGAAGACCAGGCGGGGCAACTTCTACTGGTAAAGCATTCGAAAACGGGTCCATCCTGCATAAGAGGCCGAGTGGCTCATCGGGCACGATCCCAACATGTTCATAGAATCCTGTCTGTCCCATACGTAACCATGGCAATTCTCTGACATGTTCAAAGCCTTGAGACTGCTTTCCGCACTGGCCATGGACATCAATATGTGCTGCCCAGCTGCAAAACCAAGAAACAGAAACGCGCACAAGAAACGATATTGTGCAAGCTGTGATTACAGTGAAACAACAAAACGTGAATAGGCTGGCCATGCAGGTTGCGTACTTGAAAACACGCTTTGGCCGTTTATGCTTGGAGTGGAAACCAACAGAAAGGCCGGTAGATACTCTCCAGATCAATATAAAACACCAAAGCTGTTGTTTTTACTGGAGGGGCATTCCCCTTTTAGATGTCATTTCTGCATCCATCTTCTTGCTGGTGCTCAGCAGGGAATGCTGGAATGATTCCTATAAACCATGTAACTGGTGGCTTCCTTTGATGGAATCCCACTTCCCAACACCCGGAGCAGGTCATTCCCTATCGCACCAGAAACTACGTCCTCCGAGCTTAGAATCAGGGTACCCACTTTTTTCCGGTAGTCTATTTTAGTAGGGGGTTCCCCCTCCCCCAAAAAAGAAACGGGAGAGAAGGGCCCTGGCGGACCTAAAGTCTTTGCACCTGACCAATCCTCTGCCGGAGGCTCAACTTCTCCAATCGGGCGAACTTGTCCTGAAGCTCGCATCCCCAAGCTGAAAAGGGGAGCTGAGTTTCAAAAGGAGACTCTGAGTCATAATCCAAACCCTTTGTATTTAGATGGTCGTAATCCCAGAACCATGTAAAGTTGTAAAGAAGGCGGAGTCCCGCAGCTGTTTCTGATTGGGATTGCCCTTACTATCCTTCATCTACCCGGGCTTTGAGCAAGTGGCTCATCTACACCACCTGGCTATCAAATGGTGTGCTGAGTCTTTGGGCTACTAGCACAGCCGTCATGCAAAAAAAGCGGTTCTCCAGGTGCCATACAGAATCATGACCTCTGGATTCGCGCAACGCCGGACTCTCTTCAGTCTTCTGAGGCTCTGTGTGTTTTAGGATCTTTCTAGGGATCCTTCTTTCTAGAAAACCTCCAGAATCCCAGGGGAAACGGCTGGTTATTGAAAAGAACCATGGTTGAAAGGAATAGGGAATCAACCCCTCATGCAACATGAAACATAACCAAGCCCAACCATAAATAGAACCACGCCTTAGAACATGCAATAGAAAAGTGTAGGAACCAAGCCCTAGAACTTTGGATTTGTTGTTCCGCTTCGTTCACAGCTCTTTCCCGCCTGACTAGAACAGGCGCATCACTTCCAGTGAATGGGCGAAACCTTGGCCAGATGTTGGAAACGGGTGAGTCGGTTCTTTTAGGGGACCCCCCTAGAATATATATATATATATATGTACCTAGATAGCCAAGTTGCGATCGCTTTTTTGAGTCACTGTTGTTGGTTTTTGGGGCAAAGTGAATGGAGCAAAGCAGCCACTGGCGATCCAGGTATGTATATATATATATGTATATGTATGTATATACATATGGAAAATTTCCTGGTGGTGTCTCTTCAAAACCATCCAACAACCAGCGTACCCTAAAAAATGGACACGCCCTGGAAAACAAAGACAAACACATAAAGCCTCAGACCGCAGGCACATCTCCCGCAAAAAAGGTATCGCGCCAATATGAGTCAAATTCAAAGCCTGGTTTCAACATCGTCTACCCGGAACCATGTAAAGAACTAACAAGACGGCTGCACCCATTTTTGGTTGGGACTAAATCTTCATCGACCCGGGTTTTGAGCAAGTGGCGCATATGCAAGGTTTCTCTTTAAACCACAAAAACGGCTTGTCTCGCAAAACAGGTACCATACCCTCTGACCCCATTATTTTACCATGATCAAAGTCACCCCCTAGTGGTGGGTTAATGATGGGTTAAAGGGAGGCAGCCCCATTTTCTGGCTTTGATCACCCCCAGAAAGAGTCAAAAGAATGACCCCTGACCCTATATGCGAGAAAACCCACGTTTCCAGCGCCCGATGCCGGGACGCCCGCCCAGCAGGTGCCGAGCCCGCCGACTCGAGCGACCCGATCCTCGTCCAACTCCTCCTCCGGCCACGGCTGCGCCGTCGAGGTGGAGCCACCGTACCGGATCACCGTGTCTACCTCGCTCACTCGAAGCGGACTGGGCCGGCTGGGGATGCAACAAAAAAACACACACCAAGCTGGGGATTCGGAGGTGGGTTTCCGCCAAAAATTGTGTTGCCTCCCAAAAACCCGATGCGGCCCGGATGGACAAAGATCTGTCCACACCACCTGGGAAACCCAAAAACACCTTTATTTGTCGGTATTTACAGGGGAACAATGTCATTCAAGGGTTTCTTAGGTGGTGCAGCATATCTTCCTGCACCCACAGTAGCAGCCACAAACGACAAATTGGGAAGCCGTTTTCAACCACTGTGTTACAACCAGCATAACAGCCAGGCTGGCTATGCCTAAAATAGTGCTCCTGAAAAAAAGTGAATATACCGCGATGTTGTGCTCATACTGCAGGTGTCAGCCAACCGGAAACATTCATGTTTGGGTTGCCCCTATTTTCAGAAAGCATATACCTTTGCCTGCGCTGGCAAAGGCAGTTTGCGGGAGAAAGCAAGACGCCTTGCGAAAAAATGTGAAGTCTCAACAGCTCATACCTTCCGCAGACCGAAGGAGCACGCCTGTGAAAGGTTAAGTCAAATTTGGACTTACCGGGGAATTGATCCTAGTAAAGTCTTGCCTTGAGTTGAGTTTGTGGTTTGTACTGTTCGCAGAGATTGGAACAACCTGGAGCCCGGATGTTATCATTATCAAGTTGCTTTTAATGGCGGAATCCAGGTGGACTGCAACAGTCAGGGGCTGCTTTCGACCTTCATCTATATATTGAGAACATAATTAGTCTTCAGACAAGGGAGCCACGGCATATCTGAGTTCGTGGCTGACCTGGTCGGTGGCGATTCGAATTCACATTGACCCAACCAAGTCATATACTTGCATTGTGGTCATAGGAACAAAGAAACGCTTTACTTGGTTGCCCGAATCGCTAGCGCGAATCAAGGGAACAGTCGAATCAGGGTTCTTTGGGGTTGCATAATCAAGCTTATCCCCGCCGCAAGGGTCCATCAAAATCAACCCGACCTCACGGTCCCCGATTCCATTTTTCTAGTCTTCCCCAATCTTCCCCGCAAAAGGCAACATGGAACTATAGATGCAATTCCAGGCGTTACCCCCCTCCCCCAATTCCATTTTAAGGGGGTGGGGATCATCAAAGTTGTTGAGGCCATTTGTTTCGGAGTACCCCGTTTCTCTTGTGGCTTTGAAATGGCGCCACGACGACGCCATCTGCTTGGGGGGTCTCTAGGAAATGGTCTGGATGCGTTGTGGATTTCACCTGTTCTTCCCCCAGCTGGTTCTTTTGTAGTACTCTTTTAATACTCGATCCAAATACTTTTTGTGGATCGTAGGATAGTAGTATCGTAGGATAGTACTCTTTTGTAGTATCGTTTTTGTTACTATCCTACGATCCACAGAAACCGCATCCAAGAATCCAAGCCGTTTCCTCGAAGGGTCCCCTAAAAGGGACACACTCATGCACCGATCGAAGATCTGACCCCAACTCTGAGGCTGCGGCAGTTGTGGGGTGTACCTGGGCGCAAAGAACGAATTGCCGTGCACAAAACACACAAACAAGATCACGGTGTGTTACTAGTATATTATATGTGTATATGTATATACACATACATGTATACATGCGAGCCCCCCCCCAAAAAAAAGAAGAAGAAGAAGAAGAAGAACACTGTAGATGCCGTCGGATTTTCTTGGGGCGAGTTTTTTGTTTCTTATCTTTTTGCGGAGCGGGGGAGGGGGTACCATATGTGCATATTATATAATATATAATATGTACATACAATGAGCTACGGCAGCTAGTTGCTACATGATTGAACAGTCGGCTTCCAACCATGCGCCCGCCTTAACCTCGTTTCCAACGCCGCATAGTGCGTTTGTGATCTCAACCAAGTATATGTCCTGGGCCCATCTCGTCTTGGCGGTATTCCTCGTATTGAACCTAATTCAGTACGTTTCCCCATGTTTCCGCCCGGCCTTGATTGAAGTCTTCAGTTTATGAACGGCAGTCGCTCATAATTCTGGGTGTATTTTTGGAGGGTCCGCCTTTTGGTTGGCTTCGGGAGGCCAAAAAGAAAACCGATACCATGGAAAGGTGGATCCAACTGACTTTTTCATGAGGGTGTATCTTGGAAATCCAAGATAGACAAGCACACGACAGCTTCTTCAGCAGCTTTTGGGTTTGTGGACATGGCAAGCCCTTTGGACGGACGTCGCTTTCCTTGCGGGTGGTATGTTCCTCGGACGCTTCTCGACGGAAGCCTTCTCCTAAGCCCTCAAAGCTTTGAGGCTTTACACTGGGCTGTCCCGTTTTCTGATCCCCGGCGAAAGGTTTGGCTCTTGGGTTCAATGGAAATCCAACTAGACACTCGAGGAGGCGGAAGCGGATGGCGAACCAACCAGAGGCCAGGCCAGGTACTTTGTAGGCCAGTACGCCGTACCGTAACCCGTTTACCATGGTTCTACTTCTCCGTTGGGTTATAACCAGGCTTACTATCCACTTACCCCGCCCCTAGCAGGGCACAAGAAACCGGTCTGTTGGCTCCATGGGAGGGCGTGGAATGACTTGTATCAACTGGCGTAGCAAACGGTTTTTTTTGGGTCAAACATCTTGCTGATAACCCCTGTGCAAAAAGTTGAACTTTGTGTGGGTCCAATAGACAATCCCAGTGTTTTACACGACAAGTTAAAGTCCAAAGATCCAACCAACTAGCCATAAAGACATGAACTGTAAAACCCGTAGCAAAAGCATGTGGCAAAAAGATGCAGCTCACAGGCCAGAGCTATCTCTACCTTCTTCCTGTAACTATCTGTAAACTATCTGTACCTTTTCCCGCCGCGTGAATACACCCCTTCTGCCCCTCCTGCACCTAGATTAAACATGGATCAAACAAACCTCAAGAGGCCTCTCGCTCTCATCGATACAGGAGCTCTGCTGAGGTTGTATCGCAATGCAAACGTGCAGGTTGGGAACCGGAAAAAAGGCACAGCCATATGGCCATGGGTCAAAATCCCGTACCGAACATCCCAATCCCCACTAAATAGACTAAAATGGGTGGTGCACCTACCCCAAAATGATACCATTGATTTTGACCCTAAACAGTCATGGCCATATCAAGGTGATTTTCTGCGAGCATGCCCGGCACGCCAAGAAAGCAAGGCACGCTGGCCGGCTCGGACGCGCTGATGCCGCCTCGCCCGACCAAAATCGCATGGGCCACCCAAGGGTGAAAACAAATCTCCCCTCTACAACAAATTAACCACCTTCTGTGGGTGCAATGTGGAAAATCCGTGCTGTTTCAACAGAAGAGTCAAAGCTCCAAAGATCCGTAAACATCCACCTTCGCATATCCAACTGGGGGTTGAGATCAAAAGGTCCT